AAATCTTGCTTTTCTACGGCATACACATTACAGTTTTTCAGTCACACTCTACTTCCGGTGTATAGTAGAATAATTTACTTGGCCTCATGAAGTGCCACATTCTTGATACTCCATGACATAGACATAGGGTTGCAGCATACCTACGGACGATAATGGGTATGTCCCCATTCACATAAATACAGTAGTTAATACTGTATGTTGGTCTTCAGTTAGAGATTCGTCTCCAGCTGAGCTAGTCGAACTCTCTACCTTCGGGCAGAGAGGAACCCAGACGAGGCTTTTTGACGGAGTCTATGGAGAATTTTTGCCTGAGCCTACGGGCTCGGATTCCAAACATTAAATTCGGCCTTGTGCCACATCTGACCGCGTGGGGCGGTTGGCAAATATCCTTCAGTTAGAGATTCGTCTCCAGCTGTGCTGGTCGAACTTACGACTTCCGAGCAGAGAGGATCCCCATTTCGAAGGGCTGTGTCTCGGCTCAGGAAACAGCTACACGAGCCCGTTTTATACGAGGTCTAAGGTGAATATTTTGCCAAGGCTACGTGCTCGGATACCCTACATTAAATTCGGCCTTGTGCCACATCTGACCGCGTGGGGCGGTTGGCAAATATCCTTCAGTTAGAGATTCGTCTTCAGCTGTGCTGGTCGAACTTACGACTTCCGAGCAGAGAGGATCCCCATTTCGAAGGGCTGAGTCTCGGCTCAGGAAACATCTACCCGACCTCGTTTTATACGGGGTCTACGGTGAATATTTTGCCAAGGCTACGTGATCGGATACCCTACATTAAATTCGGCCTTGTGCCACATCTGACCGCGTGGGGCGGTTGGCAAATATCCTTCAGTTAGAGATTCGTCTTCAGCTGTGCTGGTCGAACTTACGACTTCCGAGCAGAGGATCCCCATTTCGAAGGGCTGAGTCTCGGCTCAGGAAACATCTACCCGACCTCGTTTTATACGGGGTCTACGGTGAATATTTTGCCAAGGCTACGTGCTCGGATACCCTACATTAAATTCGGCCTTGTGTTGGAATTGGAGATCCGTCTCTGCTTCCATGTCAACTTTGATCTTCAATAATTTAAATGCAATGTTAATTGTTATCTTCTGTCTTTTTTATTTCTTGTTCTTTTATTGTCTTCTCGTTTAATAGTATATTTTTTTTGTATTCTCTAACACTCAGTACACCCCACTTCCGTCTCAGTGGCTATATTGCCTTCCGTGGTGTAAAATCATTTTTTTTTTACAAAAATCAATAACATGATAATAATTATGAAACTTAATCTTCTAAAGTCCTCGAATATCGGTCAAATGTTTGTACGGATTTATCGCAAAATGTAGGATTGTATTAAAGTATACAATTTTCTTCATGCTGATAAAAACGAAATGATCTAATTTATATGGAAATACATCAAACAAATCAATTTGAAGTGTTAGTCAAGTGTCATACCAAATATATAAACTAATTTATTGAATTCAGTTGTAGTGAACATGTTTCTACAAAGGCGGAAGTGTAACGACTATATTCATCAATGATAGTCAGTAAATACTTCTTTTCTCCTCGATTTGAAGGAAGCGATTCCTTGAAATCTATATTCAATCTTTCGAAGGGTTGAATAGCATTGATTATTTTGTCTCCTCCTCTTACAAATTTTGGTTTTTCTATGGCACACACAGTGCATTTTTCTGTTATTCTCTTTACTTCCTCGTGAGTAGGGAAAATAACTCGACCTGATAAAGTGCATCGTTCTTGATACTTCAGGGTGAAACAGATTATACGTCAGTTCTTTAAGGTCGGTACTTACGATATAAGTGCAATGTACTCTCGTTACCGCATCTCAGCATCCGTTTTTGATGCCCGGTCGATATCTGATACCACATTTGGAAGTGTGAAGTTCAATTCGCCAGCGATGAATTTTGTCGTTTTTAGTCTGAGAAAATGTATGCTTATTAATCGAAAATGTAGGATAGCGCATTTTTGGTCCGTGGCAAGAATAAAATATTTATCTTTTAGATAATGACTCTATTCCCTCACTGCTTCGATGATCGGGTTAGCCTCTTTCTCTACTGGAGTGTGGTAGCGTTCAAAAGGAGTTCTCGGCCGTTTTACAATAAGCCGACCTCTTTGATTTAATATCGCAACTAAGCTCAAGGATGTTTGCTCGTCTAGAGTGTGTACTACAAATCTTTCTGATTCCTTTTTCCAAATATTTAAAGGGATCTTTTATTTTATCAGGTAAGGAGAATATATTGTTGTTACTTAGCGATTGAATTTTATAAAATAGTTTGGATCCAAGCTGTAGTAAGCGAATGTTTCGACGATTCTCTTCTGAGCTTTCATATTGCCTGGTGGAAGGAGTTCTTGAAGAGGTCACATCTTTTCAGGTTCTGGTCTAACGGTCACTTTACTTACTTCATAGCCCAGAAGTTTTATTTTCCTTACTCTGTAGACACATTTATTCTCATTTAAAGTAAGACTCTACTTTTCAATGAGTTCTTGAAATCATGCCAAGTTTGTGTCATATTCGCTTTCATTAACACCACAGATGGTCACGTCATCTATATACGCGAATATTCCCTTTAGGCCTTCCTTTTCGATTATTTCATCCAAAATTCTTTGAGACCCAGCCACACGATTTATAATCCAAAACAGCAACCATTTGATATTATACAATTTCCCACTGGTTTCAAATGCCGTGCAAGGTTGGGTCTGCTTTACTTAGGGTAACTTGATGGTACGCACTTTTTAAGTCTAGTTTAGAGTACCGAATATACTTTGCTATTTCCGAATCCATCGTTGTAATCTTAGGTACAGGATCGGCATCTTTTAAGGTTAAAAAGATTTATCGTTTGAGAATATCTAACGTTTTATGTTCGTTTCGCGTCCTTAGTTACCACGACATGTTCTCTCCACGTAGATTCACTGGACTCAACTTTTTTTTTATTTCCTTCTGTATAAATGCCACATCTTCTCTAGTGTATCATCGGTATTTCACAGATATAGGTCTACAGTCAGGCAACCGATTTTGAAACAGAGGAGGAAGTGAAATCATTATGCTAAAGAGTTCGCAGAATTTTGTAGGTGGTATATCGCCCTCTTTCCTTTTGTTTTATTTTTTTGTACCAGCCTTGAAAATCTTGTCCAAGAATGACATCAGCACATAAATTACCCATTAAGGATAAATTAAATTTGTTTTGTACCTTTCTGTACCTACCGTAAGATCCGCTTTACATTTCCCTACTGTTTCCAATAACAACTCACAAGAAGCCATGATAACGTTTGACTTAATATCTGTCTATATCTCTGAGATGAGGTATTATGATTACTTACATTATTTCCATTATTCGGACTGTTATCTTCATCTTCATTGGCATATTCACAACGTTTCGGCCGTTGTATTCCCCGGCCTCCTTCAGGTAGAGTTAATAGTTCTAACATCTATTCCTATGCACTAAGCTATATTGGTGTCGATAAAACTGTGACTATTTCCCTATTTGTTCACGAGGCATTTTATCGTGGCTGTCGAAATTCTCTGTAACCCAGTGGTTAACTTGGCTATGACAGATAATGGAGAAGAAGTATTAAAACGACAGTCAGTCAGTTATGTGCCATGCGTGATACACGCTTAGGCGATCATGTATCTTTCGATACATGACTGACAAGGCAGATTTTTCTTGCAGTACGTTGCCATTTCTTTCTGCAGTAGACCAATTGCCATCCAAGTCTATAGAACCGGCCTGTTCTGCTATTTACCCGTAGCTGGCGGTTGGGAAGATAAGGATTCGTAACAAGAGTATCAGCACGTAAGTGAATGTAATGGATTCGACTGGAATTCGAACTCGCCTCTTCGATTCCTCAATCCGAGCCGCTATCCATTACTCCACCATGCCCAACATATAAATGAATACCTCACCGACTTTCAACCCATATATATAGCGTGAAGCAGTCAGGCCCTCATTTATTCAACGACACTACGGCCACACTTAATCATGGGAGTAGTCTGAGATGAGGTATTATGATTACTTACAATATTTACATTATCCTATCCTGTTATCCTAATCTTCATTGCTATATTCACAACGTTTCGGCCGTTGTATTCTCCGGGCTCCTTCAGGTAGAGTTAATAGTTCTAAGTTCCAACCCCTCAGACGGAACTATCTTGATGCCGATAAAACTGTGACTACTTCCTTTATCTACTAGCGCGATAACTTTTTTTTCTTTGTTCACGAGGCATTTTACCACGGCTTCCGAAACTCTCTGTAACCCATTAGTTAGCTTGGCCATGACGGGTAATGTAGCAGAAAACTTATCAGTATATATATATATACATATATATATATATTAGTTTGGTGCAAAAATAATGACGTAATAATGTCGCTTTTTGACGTTACATCAAAAACGACATTATTACGTCATTAATTTTGCAACTAATATATATATATATATATATATATATATATATATATATATATATATATATATATATTGGAGTGGTCAGGCCGTCATTTGTTCAACGACACTACGACCAGACCTGGTCATGGGAGTAATGGTAATATCTATGAGATGAGGTATTATGATTACTTACAATATTTTACATTATTCAGACTGTTATCCTAATCTTCATTGCTATATTCACAACGTTTCGGCCGTTGTATTCTCCGGCTCCTTCAGGTAGAGTTAATAGTTCTAACGGCCAACCCCTCAGACGGAACTATCTTGATGTCGATAAAACTGTGACTACTTCCTGTATCTAATTATCTACGGTAAGTTTTTTTTTCTTTGTTCACGAGGCATTTTACCACGGCTTTCGAAACTCCCCGTAACCCAGTAGTTGCCTTGGCCATGGCGGGTAATGCAGCAGAAAACATATTAGTATTAAAACGACAGACTTTAGCGAAATGACCTTCCTTTTTGCAAATGTAGCAAATCGTTCTTCGAGCCGGACACTTACTTTTAGGGTGCCTAGGGACTCCGCAAAAAAAAAAAAAAAACAAAAAAAAAAACCACTTTTCTTTAAAAAGGGATTTGCTAGCAACGGCTGTCCGAGATTCTCCCTTCTTTTGATTTTCCTCTTGCTGAGAATTTAAAGCGTTAATCTGGGGTTTCGATACCAACACCGCTTGATAACTTGGTTTGGGTATCAGCAGAATAGGCTTCAGAATTTAGGATAGTCCTTTCCACACTTCACGCTTGATTTCCGGCTTCTGTGAGGCTGAGCGTTTCGTTTTCAAGAACTCTTTGTCGAATAGGAAGTGCGGATAACAGAGAAATAAACGCATCTCTAATAGCTTCCTCTTTGTAAACTTGAATCTTTGAATTTGCAGTCCTTTGCCAGAACGCGCAATGCTTGAAAATATTGATCCAAGGTTTTCCTAGCCTGTTGAGTTCTGGTTGCAAGTACATACCTGCCGTATATCTTACTTTTTTTCTAGGACGAAATCTCTCTTTAGAATCTTAAATAGCTTCTTTGTACATTCGCTGAACAGTTTGTATACACCAGACGACATAGTTTATAAACTACGCGTCGTCTGGTGTATACGTCTGGTGTATACGTTATTTAACCTATTACACGGGTGTCTGGGGCCTCCACAGAAAATAAAAACATCTTTCTTTTATAAGGTATTTGCTGGCAGCAGAGGTCTGAGAGCTTTCATCCAATTGATTTTTCCTCTTGCTGAAAAGTTAAGGCGTTAAACTGGGGTTACGATGCCGACGCCGACTTGTTTCGGTATCAGCAGAAAAGGTTTCAATGGTCAGGATAACTCTGGTTTCCGGTCAGGAATTGCGGACAAATCTTTCGCATATTACTAAAGATTTTTGAACTCTGGTTTCCGGCCATTTTTAAGTATGCATCGCACAGTGCTGGTCTCTTAGTGTGGGGTATTCGTTCGCACTAAGAAACTATAAGTACTTTTGGTATTTTTCAGTAGTTAGGTTAACTCTTACCATTCTTCGCGTTTGATTTTCAGATTCTTAAGGGTCAGCATTTTGTTTTTAAGAAATCTCTGTCGAATAGGTAGGTGTGGATATAAAGGACATCTTTTATAGCCTCCTCTTTGTAAACTTGAGCGGTAATATCTTTGAGTTTACAGTCCCCCGCCTGAAAGTGCAATGCTTGAATATTTTAGATCCAAGGTTTCCCTATCCTTTTGTGTTTTGGTTGTAAGTACATGCCTGACGTATATCTCAATTTTTTCTTGGACAAAAGCTCTATATAAAATGTTAATACCTTCTTCAATGCCAGTACATTCGCTGGAACGTTCGTATACAACAGATGACATAATTTATAGAATATCCAACTCCTCAACTCAATATGCCTGAGGATAATTAAAAATTAACGGTAAATATTTTCTCTGTACTGGGTGTCTTACTATCAGGATCCAGAATCTGAGGTACTAGTACCCTGTCTATGATGTAATGAATAGAATGTCGTAAACTCTAATTAGTTAAAATATCCACTACTATTTCTCTAGTTTCGTCTTCAGGGCCAGGAACAACTGCTATTTGTCTAGTGGAGAATTGCATATGGATGCCACACTAACTCAGTCTGTTCATTATCTATCTATCTATCTATCTATCTATCTATCTATCTATCTATCTATCTATCTATCTCTTTCATTTTGTTGATTATCTATCTGTTTATCTCAGTATTTCAATTATCTATTTACCAATCTACCTATCACAGTAAGTTTATTATCTATCTATCTATCTATCTATCTATCTATCTATCTATCTATCTATCTATCTATCTATCTATCTCTCTCTCTCTCTATATATATATATATATATATATATATGTATATTTTCAGTCTGTTCATTATCTATCTGCTTATCTCATTATGTCAATTATTTATCTATTTATCAATCTATCTCAGTATGAATATCCATCTATCTATCTATCTATCTATCTATCTATCTATCTATCTATCTATCTATCTATCTATCTATCTATATATATATATATATATATATATATAGGTAACTATACTCGTTTTGAAAAGCCTTCGAATTTTTGATTTGCCAATAATCAAATCAATCTCGAAGGAAAAATATCTTTTAAAAAAGAAAGAACTAAAAAACATGAAAGTCTGTCGAAAAAATCGCACAGATACAGGTTTGAAGCCCAAAGAAAAACCCCCGACACGAGTAAACAACTAACTAACAAAAGAGCTCAATACAACCGTAGAGCAGACCTAGATAAACCTAGTGAGCCAGACAAGCCTGCTCACCTAAGCGATCATCAGGGAAAGCCGGCTTCCTCTGACGATCCGTTTAGGTGAAACCTAGGTAGGTTTGTCTGGCTCATTATATATATATATATATATATATATATATATATATATATATATATATATATATATATATCATATATATATATATAATGTCTCTATTAATTATCTATGTATCTATCGATCTCTGATTGCTTATTTTCATCCGTATGTATATCATAAGCTAGTTTTGTCTGGCACATCGAAACAGAAATGGGGCACCAAATGGGAATCAACCCCGACGGCATTAGTGATTGCCTCATGATATCAGACAGATAATAGTCATACAATTTCACAAAGGAAATCAATTAGGGCGAATCAATGTCCAATTACTTTTAGAGGATTTCAGAATACACTTCGTTCTATATAGCAAGACAACAGGGTAAATCCTGGTGTTGTTTGTATGCAAGAGAGGCGTCGTCCTGCCAGTGACTCCATTCCACACAGAATATACGATTTCTATTAGACAAGCCTGAAGGAGAAGAGATAACGTCGGTATGGAAATGCAATACGTAAATCATTAGATATTGTAATAGAAAACATCTTTCACCAGTCAGTAAGACTGATTGTTTCAAATATAGTTACACATGGCTGTAAGGAAGACATCTGCTTAATCTTTTCTTAGACTCTACGCGTTTACAAGCACAGCTATAAAAGAAACGTGTTTACAACATTTAGACATACCGCACAACATCCCAAATCCTAAACTACTCATAGAAAGAAACAAGAAAACAGGACTTTTTCATTTGTTATATCCTGTTGCAATAAGAAGCAAATAGTTGAGAAAATAACAAAATGGAATGAGAAAATAATAATAATAATAATAATATACCGTTTACACTCGTGTATAAATCGACTTAATTAAAAAAAAAAAAAAAACAAAAAAACATGCCTGTGTATAGTACAAATGGTCACCGAACCTAAATGACTTTTAACCCCTTCAAAAACATACTTGTGTATATTCAGTCAGTTATGTGCCATGCGTGATAGACGCTTAGGGGATCATGTATATTTCGATACTTAACTGATGAGGCAGATTTTTCCCACTATCTATCTATCTATCTATCTATCTATCTATCTATCTATCTATCTATCTCACTCAGTTCATTATCTATCTATCTATCTATCTATTTATCTATCTATCTATCTATCTATCTATCTATCTATCTATCTCCGTTCATTATCTATCTATCTAGCTATCTAGCTAGCTATCTCACTCAGTTCATTATCTATCTATCTATCTATCTATCTATCTATCTATCTATCTATCTATCTATCTATCCCAGAAATGGCGGTAGACCAGTTGCCATCGAAGGCTTGAAGAAGAGGATTCATACAAGGGTATTAGCACGTAAGTGAATGTAATGGATTCGACAGGAAATTGAACTCGGCTCTCCGATTCCTCAATTCGAGTCGCTTGGATAAGAAACCTGATCAGAAAATCTCGTACTATACACGAGTATATACGGTAAGCTGGCCTAACTTTCCACCAAAAACCAAAGACTTGGAAGGAAAAAGAAAGCAGAACTGGAAAGAACTATAGTGTTTAGTAAACTTTTTTTTTCATTCTTATATGTCACATGTCTCTGCAGGACGTTGGTGATCATGACTCTCCACAATTTCCTCATCCTCTGTACCTAATAATACATTTTGTCTTGTTGCTATTTCCCTTAAACCTTATTCCGCCATCTTTTTACTCGAGCACGCTAGGTAGATTATGTGTTGTTTTACTCTGTTCGTCTGGACTCTCCTGGGAATATCAAATTCGTCAAGCCCCCCCCCCCACCACCACCACCACACTGTCCTCATGTTTTCCAGAACCCTCAACTCTCTCTACCTGATGACAGGTATTAGAGATTACTTTTGGTTCCATTTGTTTCTAAAAATTCGTCGTTTCTTACAAGTTCCTCCATGGTATTCGCAGCATCCTTCTGTAGTACAAACTATGGAGTTCCTTCAAGTCTGTTGTCCATCTTTGATGAGATTGTTCCAGCATGCACTGCCATATAGGAGGACTGATGTTAGATAACAAATTAGTATTTTTTCTTTTATTTTATACGAAATTTTGTGTTTGATATCGCTTTATCTGCAAGCATATTTTAATAAAAGTTTCTATCAATTTCAAGCGACGACTGTAACATTAAACCTTCACTCAATGAATGCAAATGGCTAAAATTATGGGAATGGGTAATTTTAGCATGATTATGACGTCGAGTGTCTGATCTATCTATCTCAGTCTGTTCCTTATCTATCTATCTATCTATCTATCTATCTATTTTAGTCTATTCTTTATCTCTCTATCTAACTATCTTAGTCTATTCCTTAACTATCTATCTATCTTAGTCTAGTCCTTTCTATCTATCTATCTTAGTCTAGTCCTATCTATCTATCTATCTATCTATCTATCTATCTATCTATCTATCTATCTATCTATCTTAGTCTATTCCTTATCTATCTATCTATCTATCTATCTATCTATCTATCTATCTATCTATCTGTCTATCTATCTATATATCTCAGTCTGTTCCTTATCTATCTATATATATATCTATTTATCTAGCTAGCTATCTCAATAGATAGCTATTTCACTGTTCCTTATCTACCGATCTGCCTAGCTATTTTAGTCTGTTTATCTATCTATCTATCTATCTATCTATCTATCTATCTATCTATCTATCTATGTGTGTTTGTATGCGTCTCTTGTGTGTGTCTCTTTATGTGTGTACATGTACCTTAAACCTGAATAAACGGTACGAAGCTGACAAATAGGCTTTGATTAGAATTATATTTTCTTTCCTTATCGCATTTGAATTCACATTGCAAATTCATGACTTGATGTCTTTCCTGTTCTCGAATGACCTTTAAGACTTAAAATAAAAATAAGTGCAAATAAGGAAGGAAGCAGAGCGACCACATAGAAAATACCTTAAAAGCTTCGAATATTTGCTGAACGCGAACTGATGAGGAGAGAGAGAGATGGAGAGAGAAAGAGAGAAAGACAGATAGAGTATGAGAGAGAGAGAGAGACAAAGAGAAAAAGACAGATAGAGTATGAGAGAGAGAGAGAGAGAGAGAGAGAGAGAGAGAGAGAGAGAGAGAGAGAGAGACATCGTTATCGCAGAAGAAAATAATCCCACAACTTAACGAAGGATAACTTCTTTTTTGCGTGCATACATTTTTAAATAATTGACTCTCTTTACCGTTCAGTTATCTTTTCCTCGGTGCAAAACCCAAGGTCAGGGACGTGTCTCATCAAACAGCGCCTTTCTTTTTTTCTTTTTTTTAAAGTGATTTAGAGCCAATAATTGATAAGAAATGCCTAGCGTTTGAAGTTTTATATACACTTATATTATATACGCCTAGAAATCGTTTAGTAAGCATTTTTTGTTATTGACAGATATATTTTTACCGCGTATCAACCTTTTTTTCAGGTTGTTTAAAACCAGAAAACATTTTTAGTTTGCAACGTGTACTTAGATATAATAATGCTGTACTCCTGCTAATTAAACCCATAGCTTGAGGTGAGAGGAAGTCGGTTCATATCTTTCTCAAGGCGATTTGTGCGTAAGTTAGCATAACGAACCCGACTGGAATTGAACCTACGCATTCCGATTAATTTCGGACCATTATCCATTTCACTACTCGTACAAGTTACTGGTATTTCCAAGTCCAAGCGGTCACCCATCTATGTACTGAGCAGGCTCGACGTTGCTTAACATCTGTGATCGTACGGGAGCCGTTATTTCCACGTACTTTGGCCATAAGCAGAACAAAGGCGGCTGCAAAAATAGGTATACTGTAAATATTTTACCAATATCATGTTTGTATAATCATTACAGTACGATCTGAAAGCAGGTTTTGTTTTTCATTACTGTATACCTAATTTTGCATCCCCCTGTAAACATTGGCATATATATATATATATATATATATATATATATATATATATATATATATATATATATATATATATATATATGTGTGTGTGTCTGTGTGTCAAATATGTGGTGCAGTTCAATTTATATTGCAATAGATCATTCATACAAAAAGTAGATTAGTAAAATTAATGATATAAAATGGCGAAATCGCTTCGCAAAATTTTTAAAGGTGCATTAACCTTATGAACCACTCGATGAATGTTATGATCTTTGTTTTTTTAAAGTTATAAGCTTTATAAGGTCTTTATTTAATAGGCAAGTACCTTCGACTGTACATTCAGTCATCTTCAGGCATGGAAATTATTTTGTTTTTGGTAAAATTTAGGTAGCATCCGAGACGAAAAAATATAATGAGAATCGAAATAAGTTTTTTTTTTTTTTTTTTTAATTTGTTATTGATAACGAATACAAACTTTTGGAGCGTGCAGTCGTAACGCTAAGGTTGAATTTTTTCGAAAATTGAAGACAGTGCGTTTTTTTACTAATATGGCAATTTGATAATTTTTTTGTTGTTGTAGGAGTTTATCAGTCAATGTGGCATGAACTAAATAGTTCAATAAATAGAGTAATGTCTCAGCTGTTATCCCGAAAATTTGCACGTCGGATCAGTTCTTTTAAAGCAAATATGTGGTGCAATATATTTTTGTATGAATGATCCATTAAAATCTATCTATCTATCTATCTATCTATCTATCTATCTATCTATCTATCTTCTTTTATTCCTTATCTATCTATCTATCTATCAATCTATCTATCTATCTCAGTCTGTTTCTATCTATCAGTCTATCGATCCCTGCCTGATCGGATCTATCTATCTATCTATCTATCTATCTATCTATCTATCTCTCTCTCTCTCTCTATATATATATATATATATATATATATATATATATATATATATATGGAGGGAGAGAGAGAGAGAGATTAATTTAATTTAAATTAAAAAAACAGACAACCTTAAGTGTCCATTGATTATATTTTAATTCTCGAGGAAAGGGATTTTTTCCTGATTCCTCAGATCACATTCCCAAGATAAAAAAAAGTTTAATTTTAATTTAAATTTTTAATTTAAATTAAAATAATATTCGCTCTGGTTTTACATTGAGCTCTCTGCATTATATTCTCCTTGGGATTATCCGTACGGATTACCAAACATTTCATTACCTAACTAAAACCCTGTGTCCCAAACTCATATCCATATAACTGAATATATATATGGACCGGCTTCTAATGCCCTAGAGTGAGCGGCTTGGTGAGAGTAGTCGTGGCTCCAGGTGGGCACAGTCCTATGGTTACAGAGAACGCAGTAGAGTTCCACCGCGGAATATGTGAGCGAGCGGCGCTATATTGAGTCTGATTAGCAATCTCTTTGTCGCCGAGGCCCAGTGGGACAGTTGGTATGATGTTTGCTCGCCAACCTAACTGTCAGGCTTTCAATTCTCGGTAGTGGATGCGCACCACTGATGAGTCCCAAATATAGGACGAAACGGTCGTCCAGTGCTTTCTGCATTCTGTTGAGCTTTCTATCCGATTCGATGAATTAATTAAATGTATATATATATATATATATATATATGTATATATATATATATATATATATATATATATATATATATATATATATATATATATATATATATATCCGTGAGTATACAGTGGGCTATGATGCGTTTTTAGCCACCCTTGATAATAGCAATTTTGGTATGTTTAATGACGTCTCTTCTTTTTTTCAAATGATGCCGTGTTAGTATCAAGCTACTATCATCTATGAACAATAGTTGACTTATATTTTGCCATGAAAGTCCGCAGAAGTAAAGAAATTGTTGAATTTCAACGAGGGTAAACTATAGGATGGTATCAGTGTGGCATGTCAAAGAGAGAATTGGCTAGTTTTTTTCCAGGTTGCTCATCAAACGGTTGATAATATTGTCTAGAAATTTAATGAAGAAGGCCATTGTCGTGTGGAACAACGTCCAGGAGGACCAAACATCGTGTCTGAGCGAACGAAAATGGCACTGAATAGGGAAGTCATCAGAAACCGTCGTCAGAGCGTCAAAGATTGGCTTATGCTTGGAGAAATCAGAATGAATCTTGGAACACTTAAAGTCTGCAAGCGACCGAAACATGGAGGTATTGGAGTAATGGTGTGGGGCGCTGTCTGGTTTGGAGGGAAATCTGAGCTGATTCTTGTTGACGAGCGGTTGAATGGTACTGTCAAATATTAGAGAAAGGACTAGTCGCACTATTTGAAACTAATCAGATTGACAAGAATATCTACGTTCTTGGAAGAAGATGAAGCGCCATGTCATACAAGCAAAGTAGAAAAGATCAGGAAGAAATCACAAGGAATCAAGTCACTGCCATGGGTAGTCCAAAATCCTGATATGAATCCAATAGAGCACGTTTGGGAGCACCTTTCCCGAAGACTTCGAGAGTGTGCAACCAAAATCACATCAGTAGCAACCCTTAAAGAAACATTGCTAAATGAGTGGCAAAATATGGCTCAGGCGATTGTTGATAACTTGATCAAATCCATGAAAAATCGAATACAAGAACCGAAAGTAGTAAATGGAAGAGCTTCTCCATACTAGTTCCAAATACACTTTATTTATGTCGAATAGGAATTACGTAATTAAATGTTGAATTTGGATGTAGTCTATTTCTCCTGGCCAAAAACTTTTCTTAGGCCAATATATATATATATATATATATATATATATATATATATATATATATAACGTCCATAGTACGACTCGGAGTTTCATGCAGTTTCTGCAATCTTCAGGTGCATATTGTACTGCATGACACTCCGCATCGTGTTATTGACGTTATCTATTATATATATTTACTAATATATATATATATATATATATATATATATATATATATATATATATATATATATATATATATATATATATATCTCCCATAACATTCAGTACTGTATTTCTAACAGCTGTGGAAGAAATACGTACGAAAAATACTTGGTCTGTGGATATATGTTCTTTATTAGACACACACCAATGAACCAATGAAAAACATTTTGAGTTATTCAGTTAAAAAGAGAGCAGGTTAAAATTGATTTGTCTCAGCCGCACTCTGTCTTCTAGCAATAGTAAGAAGAAAAGAAAAATCATTCAGGCCTAAAGTAATAGTAGCGACATTCATATTCTGGCTTCCATCTTCAATTTCTATTTAAGAATCATTAAGAGAACGCTGAATAAGTTAAAAACGGGAACAGTGAAGGGAAAAACAGCATCGGAGGTCAAAAATGGAATAGGTATCATCATTTCAGAGCTAAAGAGATCAATTAGAAAAGACGCAATTGAATTCATCAGACGTTTGGTGCATGAAAGAAGAGTTTCAGCGATGACAGTCCAAAGAGCAGTGAAAAAAACATCGTATATGAAACGTGTGAGGCACCTTGTTAATGAGGGACAGCAATTTGGAAAGTTAAAGAGGACGAAGTTAAAAAAAACAAAAATATAAAAACACAAATATATTAATTGCATCCATCTGAAAAAAAAATATTTAAAAAAATGGAAGCTTTAATAATAAAAAAAGAAAAAGCCAACTCTCAACAATATTAACTACGAACAAAGCCGCAATGTGCTAACTGTATTCGGAAATTAAAAAACATCCCTACGACACACTAAGACATACACAGAACGCACACACTCAATTAAACTGAAAAAATCGAATCATCCTTGATAATGGCTAAAGGTATAGCCGAAAGCGCTCGGAAATATAAAACATTTGGACAGTTCTTACACACTCTTTCTCTAGAAAAGAAAGCTCT